GATGCCAGATGGACACATGCTACTGGATTTACCTCAGTTAGGGCGTTTAATCCTAGCAGCTGGCTTCTGAGCCTCATCCTCTCCCCATCCTCCCATAACCATTCTGAGGCTATTGCTTTAAGGTTACCCAAAGATTTCACATATATTGGTTTTTTAGAATTCATTTAATGGTTTTATTATTATTATCATCATTTTAATTTCAGATTCCATGGGTACATACTCACGTTTGTTACGTGGATACATAGCATAATGGTTAGGTTTGGGCTTCTTGTAAATCCATCACCCAAATAGTGAATGCTGTACCTAATAGGTAATTTTTCAACCCTGAGCCCCCTTCCCAACCTCCCCCCTTTTGGAGTCCCCAGTGTCTGTTATTTCCATCTTTATATCCATGTGTACCTATTCTTTAGCTCCCACTTATAAGTGAGAACATGCAGTATTTGATTTTCTGTTTCTCAGTTATTTCACTTGGGATGATGGCTTCCAGCTGCATCCATGTTGCTGCAAAGGACAGAATTTTTTTTTTTTGAGATGGAGTCTTGCTCTGTCACCCAGGCTGGAGTGCAGTGGCGTGATCTCGGCTCCCTGCAAGTTCTGCCTCCTGGGTTCACGCCATTCTCCTGCCTCAGCCTCCCGAGTAGCTGGGACTACAGGCGCCCACCACCACTCTTGGATAATTTTTTTGTATTTTTAGTAGACATGGGGTTTCACCGTGTTAGCCAGGATGGTCTCGATCTCCTGACCTCATGATCCACCCGCCTCAGCCTCCCAAAGTGCTGGAATAACAGGCATGAGCCACTGTGAGCGGCCAAAGGAAAGAATTTTATTCTTTTTTATGGCTGCCATCATTATTTTTCAGCCTCCCAACCATCCCTTGAGATGGTGGGGCAGGTATCCCTATCCTACAGATGCAGAAAGGACAGTTAATGGAAGTGTGTAGCCACCTAGACCGGAGCCCTGTTCTCCTGCCCAGCCCTGCCTCTTGCTCAGGGCCAAAGCAGTGCCCTCTGACAGCACGGCATATGTGATGGGCATATTGTATAGGACATATTCCTTCTGTTCCAGATCCTCGAAGGATGGGATCTACCAACTCATAAAAAGTTTTGGTTAACTAATTTAGTTACAGAGACATAAAATACACTTCATATAATTCAACTAAATGTCTTTAAATCTTAGGTGTCTTGAGGACCTGAGGTGTTTATTTTCCTGTCCTTTAATTACCCCTGGCTTGGTAAATTGTGGACAGCATAGGGGGTCAAGCTTTGATACCTGCTGGAAATTCCTATGAAAAATTCTCAGTCTCTTCACTCTCATCAAAATGAAACGAAAAACAACCCTGTGGCCAGGAAAATCCTATGTCTTTGGAGGAGCTTGCTACTAAAGCCTTTGGTTTCTATAACGTGTTATTCAGTTTGCCTTCTTTCCCTTGCCGCTGCCCCCACCTGTGACTATCCGGGTCTCCCTGGTATCCTGCTCACTTCCTGATAGCAGGTTTTCTTTCCCTCCCTTAGAGTCATCTCCTTGTGCTCACCTTGGGGCTTGGCTACCTCTAATTACTTCTCCATGATGGGGACAAAGTGATCTTTCCAAAGTGTCCCTGGTACTAGTTTCTTAGGGCTGTTGCAATAAAATACCACAGACTGGCCAGCTTAAACAACAGAAATGTGTTTGCTCATGGTTCTGGAGGCTGGAAGCTTGAAATCAAGGCGTCCTCAGAGCCATGCTCCCTCTGAGACCCACAGGAAAGAATCTTTCCTTGGCTCTTCTAGCTTGTAGTGGTTGCCAGCCATCGTGGAAGCTCCCCAGCTTATAGAGCATCACTGCATTCTCTCACTTTGTTAGCACACGGCCATCTTCTCCTGGGGTGTTTGTGTCTTGTCTCTTCTTCTTC